AATTATATAAAAATTTAATGATATATTTAATTGCATAAAACTAGAATAGATAACTTGAGAAATAATACTAATTGATTCAATAATAAAAATAATCATTTATTCTACAATTTAACTATAATTTACACTAATAATATGCATAAAGTTATAAATTCATAAATATAATTTATAAAAAAATTAACAAAAATTCTTAAACAAAGAAGAATACATATAAAATAAGAGAACAAACTAAAAAATCAATATATATTACATTAACATAAACACTAAGAATGGAACTTAAATTTATTGACTAGATGATAATTTTGATTAGGTATCAAGGATACTTAGGATTCAAATGGATAAAATTTAGTGTATATAATTTATATATACGGTGTTATAATTTAATGCACTTAATATAAATTAAAAAGAAATATTTTGTGTATATTCTAAAATAGTGTAAATCAAAAATTAGTAAATGTTAAAACATAAGGGAAAAAATTATAATTTAAATATAGTGTTAATAAATGAGCAATAGTATTAAAGTACATTCGCTATGCATTAGTATCTTATATCTGTAATAGGTAGAAGAACAATAGGAGCTCGTAATTTAACATATGACTGAGAGAAATGTAATCTGCTACTGAATTCAAAAATAAATTACAATTAAATATATATTACAACTGAGAATAAAGTCCCATAATATCTAGAACAATAACAATAAATCATATCTCTATAATTACCCAAAATAATTTAACATAAATACAAAAAAAGTCTTATATTTATGACACAATAAATAAGGTTATGTAAATTATTTCGAATGAACAAATAAATGAAAAATATATATATATATTTTTTTAATAATATGTATACTTATATTTATGTTCATAGTTTTTTTCTCATTAACATCATGATATATATGTATATATTTTTTCCCCCTTATATAGTATCTGTGAGCTATGAATTATAATATATAGATATAATTTATTCTGTATTATTTTTATTAGTTGATGTATATACTGTGCCTTAATTATTAATTATACATATAAAAATATTTTAGCTTTATATAATTTTATTTCTTATATATACAATATTTATTTTACGATATAATAAATTAATTTTTATATAATTCATGCTTATGATGTACTAAATAATAATAAAATTGAACTATACAAAAAAAACACAACATTATTTTCAAAATATTTTAAAATAATGATAAAATAAGTTATGACAAGAAGTTTAATGCTATATGAAACATATAAATTTGCATATAATAATTATCATAATACAAATATAATAATAACACATATTTTTATTATAAAATTGCGATTTTTAAGAATAAGAAATTTATATAAATCTAAAATAAGCTTTTCCTGAATTTGAGAAGCATTTGTATATTCATACCATTTTTTATGAGATAATATAGAAAAAATAATTTCCTGATATATATTGATTCTACAAAAGTAAAGCAGAATTCATGCTAAACAATTATGATTATCATTTTATATATATAATTGATATTTACAAATTTTATTTTTGTTTTTATTTGTATAAGCAGAACATATAAAATAATAAATAACCCTTATAAAAATATCATTCACTATAAGTACATATTTTAGTACCAACTCAGTATTCATTATACACATTTATACATGCATTTGAACATGTACTACAAGTAATGCATTACATTAATTGTTATTCGTTTTATGAATTATGAAATTATGTTTATTTATATAGTTATATTAAATTTGATAAAAAAAAATACAAAATTAGTATATATATAATTATCTCTTAAATATTGCACCTTCATAGAAATATATAAATTATTAGTATACAAAATTATGTAATTTATAACATTGATATTATTGTTTTGTTAAAGTATTAATATCTTGGTCTCAAAAAATATTAAAATATTAGAAATAATAAAATATGATACACATATTATACCAAACTCAAGGAATGATTCAATATTATATATATATTCACAAATCAAATTTGTTCAATATTTTTGAAATAATGTTTTTCTATTAAATTAATTGATCTATAATATATAAGGAATACTATTTAATATTTCATAATACGAAAATTATAAAAATTATATTATGATAACCAATCAATGCATAATCTGATTTTTAATCTATATTTATTTCTTATAAACAAAGTTAATTCTTTAATAATAGTTAATATTTATTTTATAATTATATAAGATTATATTTAATCCTTTAACATTAAAATCATAATAATTTTTTTATCTTGATAATTTTTTCTTTATTTGAACATGGATTATTAGTTTTCAAATATATTTTACAAGGTTTATTCTCATCATTTATAAATAAACATATTATAGCATTAGATATAGTGTTGGCATCTAATTACATGATCTTCGCAATCATATGAGTTTGTCTATATTATTAAAATCTTTGTATATTTTTAATTGTGTTGCAAATAATAACAAGAATGGTTCCAAAAGACACATATGTAAGGATAAGTTTTAAATCATAATTATCAAATATATAAAATGATAATATTATCGAATCTTTATGTTTTATCAAATATAATAACTACTGCATGAATATAATATTATATCATTTTTTATACTTAATTTATTCTTCTCAGAATTTTAAAACAAGTGAATTACCTTCGCAAATATTTTATAATAAATTACATACAGCATCTACTGATGGAAATCATTTTGTTAAGTACTGTGGTGGTGATAAGGAAAATTCTTTAAATAAATATCCCAATATTAAAAATTTTTGTTCTAATATAATAAATTATTTAAAAAAGCGTAAGCATTCATGGAATCAAGGAACTAAAAAAGATATGTACTGCAATCTTTTAGTCTATTGGATATATGATCAATTAGTAAATAATTTCAAAGAATATACACATAAACCTATCGATATTTATGGCAAAATTGTGAATGTATGGAACATTAATTATAGGTCTTCTAAAAATCGTAATATTACGCAATGTGATCTCAGTTCAGAAATTATTTTATACGATGATTGGGATATGAGAAAGAAATTGTATGAATATTTGCTAGATTTTGATATACACATTAAAGAACGAATATCTGAACAAGGAAAATGTGAAGAATATTATGAATATATTCAAGAGAAAGAGCAACTGTATAATCATTTTAATGAACCATGCAATGCTAACGATCAAACGAAATGCCCATCATTTTATAATGATTGCAAAAAGTACGAGCCATCAATGGTGCTTAAAGGATCTGAATGTAATCAATCCGTTAAGGGAGTTGAGGATAATAGAGATTTACCAGAGATAGGGGAAGAAGATGGTTTATTTGTTAGACAAGATTCACAAAGTTTACCTGAAGAACAGGAAGTACAAGATTCACCTGAGGGTGGAGATACGCAAAAAGCACGTGAAAAAATACAATTAACGCGTCAAGAAATTAATGAGAATTATGGTACTTCATCAATAGTTAGTGAAATTCCTGAAGAAGAACTATTGTATGTGAACAGTTCTAGACCATTAAAAATATTTGGTAAAGCGCTACTTGGAATATTCGTAATTTCTATGACATTTGGATTTTTATATATAGTATNNTATAAATCTAATTCTTTTATTAGGTGTTTACATAAATTATGATCCCAAGTATAATAAATTAATATATCATATTCATATGTTATTTTTCTTTATATAGAAATTTTCACCTACAGAAAATTTGTTAAGTAATAAGATTAGAATGATAAAAAGAAAGATAAGTAATGATAATGAAAAAAAAAATAAGCAATATCCCCAAGCAACAACATACCTTAATCCATTTATTGATGATCGAGAAGTGCATTATATAGGATACAATAATTTATAATATATTTGAGTTCAAAAAGTTTAGTAATTACAATAGTTTAAATCAAGCATATATTATACAGAGAAAATTTTATTTAAATTAATATTTTGTTTCATATTTAAAAAAAGTAGAAAAATATAATATAAAATTATTATATACAGTGTTAAGTATTTGGAAGAATAAGTATAGAAAACTACATCTAATATAAAAAAAAAATATGTTTGATTGAAAAAAATCAATTACAAATCTAAATAAATTAATTTCAATATTTACAAACGCTTCGTATGTTTTTATATTTTTCAGTTCATCCCTTTATATTGATTTATTTTATATTAAGTGAAATGTAATTTTCTTGAAGTAGTCATTATTCTTATTATTTAATATATGATTACATAAAGAAATTTCATATTATAATATCTTATATATAGTGTTAATTATGTATTTATGCAAATTATAATTATGAAATATCAATTAAGATATTTATAATTTAAACACATTTTCACAACACCATTACATAAATTAAATATAAAGCTAAATGCTTTTTTTTTTTTTAAAGTATTGCTTTTTATTATTCTGTACATTTTCAATATTTTCTTTCTCTCTCTATATTACGTATAAAAATTAATTAGAATTATATTATATTTTTATTTTCTAAATGAACCAAATGCATCATAGTATGTGAATTAATAGTATTCATTATGTATACAAATTCATAAGAAAGCACAATATTACAGTATAGAAAAATAAAATGAAAATCAATTATTCATTAAATGCCTTCCTCAATTACTAAATAATAATAATCAATTATTAAATATAATATGACATGGCATCCAACTTATATATATTTTTAAGCAATATATAATACAATACCTTTTTATTATAACAACCTAATATATGTATATCAAGGTTATAAGCTCGAAATTTTTTTATTACTTTCTTGCTCTGTAATGATGTCTATTGCTCTGCATTACAATATTATTTTTTTGTATGCATACATTAGGGAGAATAAAATGTAAAATACCGAAAGATTTTCATTGATTTATTTTCTTTCCTCAATTTTATATTAAATATGCTGTTATATGTGTTCAGAAAAAAATAATAATAAGCTAATAAAAAATATCCAATTAGAATGATATTATATTTTAATAAAAAAGTTAATTTATTAGAAATTAAAAAATAATATATGGTATCATTTAAAAGAGTGGAACGATACATATATATATTAGATCTTATTGTAAAAATATTTATAACCATATA